TAGCTTGACATGAGCTAGATACATATATTCCACGTGGCCATGTAGCTTAATTTTTTATTTTCTTTTTCCAAATCTTCTGAGAAAATGAAAACCTCATGTCCATTTTCTTCTCAGTCCCATTCTAAAAATTATAACTAAAAAAATTCACTTCCACTGTAAGTCATAATTTGGTAAACTGAGTCATAATTTTGGTTCTTCAAATATAAATTGAGAATCAAAATGGATTTCCATAAAAAAAAACTTAATAAAATAATTAACTTTTAGTACATCTCCTTTCAACCACAAAAATATTTCTCAGCCACTTCTTTTTGTTTTCTACCTCTTTTTATGCTCTCTTTTTCATACATCTATTTTAAAATTAGAGTTGTTCATTCTCTAATCAATTCTCTCAATTACCCATTTCACCTCCACCCATCAACTTCTTAAATTTACATCTTAAGCTCTAAAGTTGATATCTTTGTCAACGACAGGCAGTGGTTGGCTTAGCTATTGGTGTGTTTTGCTCTTGCATTAAATGTTTGGTTTAGTTAAACACAACTCCATCTGTGGGTCCCACGTTTGGTTAAGGAGAACATTAAATAAGTGTTTATTTAATGTTAAATTATATATTTGTCCAAGTCAGCTATGTGGTGTTAGTCTACATAGGATGTTGAATCACCTAGCTACTAGATCAACATTTGACACTTAATTGGCATTTTTTAAAAAGTTCAATCACCCAATTGCAAAAGTTTTCCATCTAGACATAAAATTATTGAAGTTTGACGCAAAAATTTATCATTTATCCATTTTTATGGCCGCTTCTTTTCATTTTCTGCCTTTGTTTATGCTCTCTTTTTTATACATTTATTTTAAAATTAAAGTTATTTCTTTCTTTAATCAATTTTCTCTCTACTACCCATCCATCACCTTCTTAAATCTATCTCTCAAGATTTGAAAGTTATTATCTTTTGCAATGGGTTGAGCACCACTATAATGATAGTTAGGGGTGTATATAAGTCGATCCTGTTCATGAACTGTTCGAGCTCGTCTTGAAAAGAGTTCGAAAAAGTTCAAGCTTGAGCCTACTTATTTAGCAAACGAGTCGAGCTCAAGCCTATTATGTTTAGCTTGAAAGTTCATCAAGTCTTATCGAGCTTTTATATATACATATATATAATATTATTTTTGGTTACTCGGGTATCGAGCTTCGAGATTAGCTATAGCTTAAAATTTTCTAATTTGAACTCAAGCCTTAAGTTAAGCTTTTATCGAGCTCAAGTTGAGCTCGAGCCTAAATTTTCAAGCTCATTGATTTTTGAGTCGAGCTAAATTATATCAATCTGAACTTTGAGATCGGGTCGACTCATTTACACCCCTAGTGATAGTGATAAAAGCTTTAGATCTACTCAAATAGTAGCGAGCGAAAGTGGCAGAGCACCAGCCTCTTGATCCTAGTGAAGTAGACATGGCCATATTACGGTTCCGGGAACCGGAACCGTCGGTTCGAACCGGTCCGGAACCGTAATCGGAACCGGTGAGAACCGTAACCGGGCCGAACTACGGTTCCGGGAACCGGAACCGTCGGTTCAAACCGGTCCGAAACCGTAACCGGAACCGGTGAGAACCGGAACCAGGCCTAACCGGAACCAGAACCGAAAAATTCTGGTTAGATTCCGGTTCCAGAAAATTAGGAACCAAAACCGGCGGTTCTAAAGAACCGGTCAGAACCGGACCTGAACCGCCAGTTCTCCGGCCGGTTAGAACCGCCGGTTCGAACCGGTGCGAACAGGCGGTTCTAGCCGCTCTCCACAACTGCGAAAGCCATGTTTGACCCGCTGAGCTCTGCAACGCGAGCTTGCAACTCTTGTGAGGCCTCAATCATGCAGGCCCTCCGATAAAAGAGTACTTGCTAGAATACAGCTTGTCAACCAACATCTCCCATGCACATATATATACACTATAATATTTGCTGGTGTTTTTGAAGGTTAATGTTATATTATTTTATATTTAGTTAATATATTAATTATTATTAAGAAACTGTCAGTTTTGTGTTTTTTTTTTTTTAATTTAAGTTCAAGCCTTTTTTTTTTTTTTTAATTAGTTAACTTTTTTAAATAAAAAATAAATTCAAGTTGAAGATTTTTTTTTTAAAAATAATTATTTCAGTCTTTAAAAAAATAAATTTAATTGAAGTATTTTTTAACTTTTAGGTGTATTTTTTTTACAAATAACATTCACAAATTTATTAATTTTTAAACCGGTCTTCAAAATTAAAATTTAAAATTATGCAATTCGCCGGAAAACCCGATCGGAACCGTCGGTTCCGGTCTTCAAAATTTAAAATTTAAAATTATGCAATTCGCCGGAAAACCGATCGGAACCGTCGGTTCCGTAACCGGATCAGAACCGGAACCGGAACCGAAATCGGACGGTTCCAAACCGGAACCGGAACCGCCGGTTCCGGAACCGTGGCCAAGCCTATAGTGAAGGTGAGCTCCTCATTGCATCTTGTTTTTAATTTTCTGGTGATGGCACATGAAAGCAATGATGGACATGTAGACATTTTGTAGAGATAATATGTAATATGGTTGAGGCAGCAATGTTTTTGGGAGGCTTTCGTTGTTTTCAATTTTTTTATATATTTTGGATTAATTGTGAACTTGGTATCTGTATTTTTAAAATTTTCTATAATGAAATCTGAACGAAAATTTTTTGCAATTAAGTGTCAGAACTATAAAAAATTAAATTTATTTGGCACTTGTGTCTTGCCTGAATGATGAGTAGAACGACAGTGGCCCACTATTCATGGTAAGACATAAAATGATATTAATTGGACCAAAATAACAAAAACTACACATAAATTTCACTAATGAAATGACTTAAATACCCTGATTTGAGATAATATTAGAAAGCTTAGGATTTTGAATGAGACTTAAATAACTATGTTAATGTAAAACTTACCACTAAAGCAAAGCGATTTTCTTTGGACAATTTTGAGATTCAACGCCATGAATACTCTACTTGACTTCAATTATTTTATGTCATGACATTAATATTTTAGCTCATGAAAACTTAAAATCTAGTAGCAATGGAGTTGTAAATGTTTGCATCTACCAAACACAAGTTTATAGCATCTCAAGATTATTCTTCGTAGAAGAAGATAAATGACTAATTTGACAAAATATCAATATAGTAGAGAGGGATATTTGATGGAAATAAAACATTTAAAACTAATTATGCGTGTTGATGGAGAGAAACCATTTAAAAAAATATTATATAATGGAAATTTATCAAATTTGTGAACTATTAAAACAGATATGAACTTGGATATTTCGTGCAAGTATTAAAAAAAATATAGAAATCTAAAAACAAAGCTTGCACAAGAAAGAAAATAATATTAGGCAGCTTCGATATGGCTACCTCACGTAGAGATATATTAATCTAATTCAATTGTCATATCAGCATAAATGGCTTCCACATATACACAATCATCGTTATGGTGAGACATACCACTTGATTGATATTTGAAAGAAGTTTAGACACTCAGTTGATAAGGTTTTTCGTTTACGCACTAAAATAGAAAATTTTGAAAAGTCTAGCTACTAAATTTATAATTATCCCTTTAAGAAAGAATTAATTATTTTTTCATACATTGGAGGTCTAATGGACCGAAATAACATTTGTGCACTATTAGGGGTGAGCATTCGGTTCGGTCAGTTTGGTTAATTTGATTAATTTGGCTAATTCAGTTCGGTGAATAAATGTTCGGTTAAAAGTTTGATTAGAGAAAATTAAATTTTCGGTTATCGACTAAAAGCTAATTTAATCGAATTAATCAAATTAACCGATTCTTGAAACTACATCGTTTTGATTAAGTAGATAATAAAATTAAAAGTTAAAAATATTTCAATTTTATTTTGATTAAGTAGTGATTGATAAGTTCGATTAATTTTTATTTCAATTAAGCCTGTTAATCAGAAATTTCGATTAAATTCGGTTGTTTAATTAAGTTTTCATTTTCTTTAACTTCTATTCGATTCATGATTAAAATTAATTCACCAAAACAGTTCGATTAAGTTCGATTAAAAAATTAGATTGGTTAAATTCGGTTAAGTAAAAACAAATTTCAGTTAAAAATGTTACTCAAATTGACCGAGTACTCACCTCTACGGGTTGCACAATAGGGAATCCCTCCATTTTAAATAACATTCATCAAATCGGCGATTAACATTTGTGGTTAAGAGGACTCGAATTCGAGACTTTTACTCCCTACATCTTCTATAAGATATAAAAAGTCCAATCAAATCACACTTGATTAGTAAAAAGAATTAATAACTGAACTCTAGTTTTATAAAGAAAAAACCATTGAATGCTTCAACTTGGCATTGAAGAAGGTGAAGGCTAGAGACAAGAGCGGATGCGGTTGATTTAAAACTACGTTGACAAAATTATTCATAAGTTTTAATAATAATTTTCATTTGACTATTCATTCTTATTTCACAGTTGTATTTTCACAAATGTATTCATTATTCATATACAGCAGTGCTTAATTTTAGCAAAATTAATCACTAAAATTTGACTTCAAGTATACTTCTTCTATTTCATTTCAAATATTAATTTAAAAACTTCTTTCCCACCTCACATATTTTTTTACAAAATTATGAAAGTATTAATTATTATTTTAAATTTTATTCTTATTTCTTGATATCTTCACTAATAAAATATTAATGTATTTAAAAAATTAAAATATAATTTAATCAATTATAATTATTTTTTTTATCAAAATTTTTTTTTAGTATTATATAATTAAGGATGAGGAGTAGCAATTAAACATTATGGCAAGAAATTAAAGCAATTTGTCTTTTATCCGTAAAAAGATAAAAACACATTGGTCTTCCATCCAAAGTCCAAGCTCCAAACCCGCTTTATGTGGGCCCTCTGTCCCAAAATACGACCGTTGCTCGCCCTCCTCGTATCCCTAAAACCATAGATAACAAAAAGAGAACACATTCAAATTTCAAAAATTCAAATTGTCGCAATAAAGAAAAGCTGCCACTTTGCACATTCCATTTGGAGTAAGACTCTTGATCGAAGCTCCACTTCAAATTTCAAATCCCAACTTATTTTTGCTCAAATTCTTCACTATCATAGTGGCCATGAAAACCCAATTTCTTATCTCCACTTTAGCTTCAATGTAGCTTCATATACACAAAGCCATTCCTTGAACTTACCTGAATTTTGATCTGGGTTTTGGTTTTTAGAGCAAAAGGTTGAAACTTTATTGAAATTTTGTACAGTTCAAAGTTAAAATTTTTATCTTTACAATGAGGGAAGAAAACCCATTTGAAACAAAATCCAAAGCAACAAAATTTGCAGATCAAAACCAGCCACCAAAGCCTAACAACACGAAAGGGAATAGCAATAATGCTTCAAAGCTTCGATCTTCATGGGGTTCACATATTGTTAAAGGCTTTACAGCAGATAAAAAGACCAAAGCACATACTACAGCAGTTACCAGCAAGAAACTTCCATTAACAAACACAGAAGCCACAACAACCCAAAAGAACCCTTTTGTTCCATCTCACTCTCGTGTCAAAAGATCGCTAATCGGCGATTTAGCTTGCTCAGTAGCAGCAACTCAAGTTCATCCACAAACATATCAGACTAATCACAGAAGACAATCTTCAGGTTCAAGGGATTTGTTTCTTGAATTAGAACATTTAAGAAATTTGCTTCAAGAATCTAAAGAACGAGAGTTTAAGCTACAAGCAGAAGTAACAGAGCTTACAAGGAATGGAATGTTTTTGGGTCTTGAAAAGGAGCTTGAAGAAAAGAAAAATGAGGTGGATAAGCTTTTACAAAAAATTGGAGTTTTGGAGACAGAGAAAAAAACCCTATGCGAACAAGTGGCAGAGATGTGTTTGGTTTCAGAGAAAAAGCATGTAAAGATATTGAAAAGAGAAGGAAATGAGAGTTCAATTGGTAATTTGGAAATGGAAGTTGTGGAATTAAGAAGATTGAATAAGGAGTTGCAGATGGAGAAGAGGAATCTTTCTTGTAAGCTATCTTCTCTGGAGACTCAATTGGCTTCTCTTGCAAAGGCTTCTGAGGTATTGTTGCTAATATTTGTTTTCTGGTTCTGTTTGACTGTTTGGTTTCCAATAAAATTGTACAGAGGAAAATAAAGTTTGAAAATTAGAACTTTATATAATTAGTAACCATCAAAGTATTGCTTTCAAACGAACGGAATAAATCTCTGATCTCTCAGTTACGGTTATTCATTTCTCAATTGAACTAGTACAATGCTAGTATAAATGCATTCAACGAAATTTTGTGAAATCCGTTTGGGATTTCATGCTTTGGTATATAATTGAAATATTAATATTTCTTCTGAATTTATGGAATTTAAGGTAACTAAAAACAAATTCTAAGGTTTGTAAATGAATTCTATTGTTCAAATTGATTATACCAAACAATGTATAAATAATGGTTTTAAGATATTCTGCAATGCATTTTATTTACTGGGGCTTGATATGATCATTTATCACTTACTGTGTAGTGGCACTTATTTGTTGGGGCTTGCTACTTACTGTGTATTCTCTTGAATTGTGGTAGAGTGACATTGTAGCAAAAATTAAAGCCGAGGCATCTTCACTAAGACTAACAAATGAAGATTTATGTAAACAAGTTGAGGCTCTGCAGATGAGTAGGTTAAATGAGGTTGAAGAGCTTGCTTACCTGAGATGGGTTAATTCATGTTTGAGAGATGAATTGCGCAGTTCATGCTCAACAAATTCTGACAAGGCCTTAGGCCTGAATTCAGGAGAGAGGAGTAATGAATCCTTTAGTTCATTCTCTTGCAAAAGTAATGAATGCTTAGAATATGATAGTGTAAAGAGATTCAATTTGATTAAGAAGTTAAAGAAATGGCCTATTACCGATGAAGATTTGCCAAACTCAGAGTGTAATGATAAAATTTGGATACATTCAGAGGAAGGGCGAAGTCCAAGAAGAAGACACTCAATAAGTGGATCAAAATTTAGTGTAGAAGAGTTGGTGTCAAGTAAGAGAAGGCAATCTGATGGTTTCATGTGTGGAAAAGAAGTTGAAAAGGAAGCTGAGCAAGTAACCTGTCAAAAATATGATTTGGATATTGATCAAAGTCCTCAAATCTTTGGAAACTGCATAGAGATTAATAAGATAGTGTCATCATTTGATGTTGAGAAGAGGGCTTTGCGAGTTCCAAATCCCCCTCCAAGGCCCTCATGTTCTATTTCAAGTGGACCTAAAGAGGAAGGTTCAGCAAAAGTTCTACCTCCACCGCCTCCACCACCACCTCCACCTCCCCCACCACCTCCTCCAAAGTTTTCAGTGAGAAGCACTAGTGCAGCAGGAGTGGTGCAGCGGGCACCTCAAGTTGTTGAATTTTACCATTCCCTCATGAAGAGGGACTCTAGAAAGGAGTCTTCAAATGGAGGAATATGTGATGCCTCAGAAGTTGCAAATGTTCGTAGCAGCATGATTGGCGAAATTGAAAATCGATCATCACATTTACTTGCGGTAGGTGGGCTGTTTATTTCTTGATCTTAGTTGTATTTGTAATATAAATTTTAGGAATGTTCCTTCAACTAATTGTAGCTTCGAAATTCTATTCACAAGACTTTAGACTTGTATGAAAGAAATAGAAACTTGATGGTTCAAGAATCCGAATCTTTTGTTCATGTCCCTATTAGATATAAAATATTGTCCTTTTATAATGTAGTCTAATTGCTTAATATTACTAATGTCAACCTTTTGTAGATAAAAGCAGACGTTGAGACACAAGGAGAATTTGTCAATTCACTGATAAGAGAGGTCAATAATGCTGTTTACCAAAACATTGAAGATGTTGTGGCATTTGTAAAGTGGCTTGATGATGAACTTGGCTTTCTAGTAAGTTTGTCTTTGTCTTGGCTAGAATGACTTGACATGGTTTAAGTTCTTTAAGATATACTATGCTATGCTTAATTTATAAATTATGGTTAATGAATAGTGGAGCTCTTTTTGGAAGAAAAATTTAGTATGTTATAGCTTCCAGTGGATGAAATAAAAAAGCATTTGAAAGACAAACCATATATTTTGGCCCAAGTGTCTAGTCTAGCCAAAGTGAATGTGAAGATACCACACGGGTGGATCTTTTCTTTTTTTTTTTTTTTTTTTTTTGTGTTAGTCTAGCCAGTGAATGTGAAGATTACCACACGGTGGATCTTTTTTCTTTTTTTTTTTATTTTTTTTTGGTTCCCCTTTTTTTTTTTTTTTTTTTTTTTTTTTGTTCCCCTTCAAATCTCTACTACTTCTATATTGCTAAAGAAAGAATGAAGAAAGAAAAAGGTTAATCCACCACTACCACCAAGTCAAATCTAAACTACTTAATTAGGAAAATTATTTTGGAAATGCTTTAGATAGACTAATGCAGGATATGGAATGCCCGGCAAGATCTTGAATTTAATGAGAATTTTGAATTTTTAGATTAACAAACATTAGATGGTTGCATCTTTCCGTGTTTGGTATAGTTGTGGGGCAAATTCACCTACCCAATCTACTAAACATGGAACTAAAATTTTCTTTCAATGCTTATTGATGCCTGCCTGTAGAGAGCACTCAATAATAGAAAATAAGATATATTAGATACTAAGTGAGGGAGAATTTTTGTCATTATTCTTATTATGATTGCATTTCTACAAAGGTTGATGAAAGGGCAGTCCTAAAGCACTTCGAATGGCCAGAAAAGAAAGCTGATACATTGCGAGAAGCAGCATTTGGTTATAGAGATTTGAAGAAGTTAGAGTCAGAAGTGTCTTATTACAAGGATGATCCCCGAATGCCTTGTGACATTGCATTAAAGAAAATGGTTACTCTATCAGAGAAGTAAGAACCTGAAACTTAAATTTATAGAAATAGTTTATTCTAATAAATCATGTCTGCTAGCTACAAATATTCATTGGTTTATGTCCTCTTGCAGGATGGAACGTACTTTATACAATCTTCTACGAACGAGAGAACCCTTGATGCGTAATTGCAAAGAATTCCAAATTCCAACAGAATGGATGCTTGATAATGGCATTATTACCAAGGTAAGTTTGATTAAGTTTTTCTTTCTTCTTTGACCTTTTAGCATACTATGTTCAAGCTAAGTATTACAAGATTAGGCTATTGAGTTCGTAGTCTTGTTGTCTGGTCTCTTCAAAACCTGTCAGGACTGCTGCCATCCCTTCAAAAGAGGATAACAACATGGTACTATTTGGAGTAAATGATGGGCCTAGCCACCTAGTACAGTTTCAGAAGAATCAAGCTGTTGAACTAATTTTAGAGTTTGGATAAGGGAAAATCCAAGGTTGATATTTCATTTAAAACAAAATGAACTTATGACATTACTTTTCATAACTCAAATGCAATTCTTGGAAAAAAAAAAAAAAAAAAGAAAGGAAGAAAGAAATCCTCTAAAAAAGTTCCCTTTTTTTTTTTCAAGAACTCTCCCCTAGACATTGAATGAATTCTGCAACTGTTAATGCACCATTAAGATGGTAGCAAATGTACATGGAAATCTTCTGAAATTGGATCCTTTGGATAAATTCGTTGCCTTCACTTCTAGGCCTTTTGTTTTCTTTTTGGTAGAATTATCAGCCTTTTGGATCATACACATTTCCATTGGTTATTTTGTCCTGAAGTTATGTAGATTTCACATGGCAATAAATTGACACCTTTGTGTTCCAGATAAAGTTTGGTTCAGTGAAATTGGCAAAGAAGTACATGAAGAGGGTAGCTATGGAAATTCAGTCAAAAGCAGCAATAGAAAAGGACCCAGCCCTTGACTATATGCTACTTCAAGGAGTTAGGTTTGCTTTCAGAATTCATCAGGTCTGTGGAATGATACCCAAATTTTATATTTTATATTTTTCAGTTAAAGTTCAGTTTCACTAATAAGATGCTTTTTTAATTCCAAGTTAGTTGGGGTTCAATATATGAATATTTTTAATTCATTAAAATCTGTAGTTAATTTTTTATTATCGCCTAATAAAGTGTCTTACTTGGTTAGAATCATTGTATAAATGACGTGGTAAACATAATCTACCTAAGAATCTGAGAGGTTTTGTTGTTTTATGCTCAAAGATTTCATTAATCTCTTGATGAACAAATAAATAAAAGAAAGAGAGGGAGCCTAGTTCCTTCCCTTTCTCTAGAAAATTGCTTTTTGGTTGATTTATAGCATAATATACTAAATTTCTGCATTGTTTGTAAACTTTTGTTGCAGTTTGCAGGAGGATTTGATGCAGAAACAATGCATGCATTTGAGGAACTTAGAAACCTTGCTCACCTTCTCAACAAAAAGTAAAGAAAAGAAAAGGAACAATTTGAGTTTACCATCTCAGTAAGCTAAGCATATCACACTTGAACATATCTGTTATATATTGGAGTGGTTTTGAGAAGTTTGGTGTCTGTGTGTGAGTGTGTAATGGGAAGCAATTTTGTTTAGAGTTCTTGCTCACTCCTTAATAACACGTGAAAATTTAATGAGAATGCCACTAAATCTTTTTGATACTCAGGTTCAGGTTCTTGTTCTTGCACTCAATTTGTTCTTTTGCACTAAAGCTTCGAAGTCAATGTGCAAAAAGAGAACTATATCTCCTCATTTTTTAAAAAATTTCTTAATTTTAAATTAATAAATATGTTACTTTTGTTTTTGCTTCTTCTTTCATTGATATTAATACAAATATTTTTTTAGTAGGTCATTTATTCAATAATTTATAATTATGATTTAAGAATAAGAAGTTTCTTTCTTTTAGACTTGCCCCGAAAAATACTTTTCTTTTATCGATGGCAAGTAAGTTAAAGACATATTGTTAAAAATAAAAATGCACAAATAATACTAGTTGTAATATTAAGTAATATTGTCAACTAGCCAAATACTTGTATAATGAGTGGAATGTACAATTTTATTTTTTTAAGAAAATTTAAAAGAGTGTTATTTTTTAACAACGGTAAGTGAGGGGTTAAGAATATATATAGTTAAATTAAACGAAAATGAATCAAATGAATTTATTACAGGTTAATAATTATTGAAAAAAGAAATTGAAGATTTTTATCATTAATACAATAAAATTATTGTTTGATTTATTATCTTTTTTTTAAAGGGTTTTTATTTATTAATTATTGAAAAGATTTAAAAAGTTTTTCATTAATATAATAATGCAATAAATTTATTATATAATTTTATTTTGTTTTTATTATATAAAAAGTTTTATTGTATTTTCACAGACTTTAAATTTTGTATATAATAAGTACTTTAAAATTTATTATCTTCTTTGTGGTAGTTGTATTTTCATTAATACAGTAATGCGATAAATTTATTATAATAAGATTTTTTTTTCGGTTTTTTTCTCAGTTATAAACCTATGTTATAGATTTTTTTTTTTTTTTTTTTTTTTTTTTTTTTTTTTTTTTTTTTTTTTTTTTTTTTTTTTTTTTTTTTTTTTTTTTTTTTTACAATTTGACTGGGTCAATTGACCCTTCTGATACCTTGAAGTGTATTCATTAATTATCGATTGTGGTAATTCATAAATTCTTGCCACTCCAAACTTTATGTAAATGGACAACACTAAACCCAAGTTACAACTTACCATGAGTCCTAAATTTTTGAAAGTACATTTTTTTTATTTTTTTTTAGAACCAATATCTAAAATTTAGTCTACTCAATTTTTGAAGATAAAAATATTTATTTTATTAAATTATTTATTTATTTATATTTTCAATCTCCCATGTTTTAAATTAAACTAGTATGTTTTAAGTCATATAGTTTAAGGGAACTTTTATAATCAACCCCAAAAAATTCCTTCCTTTGTGATGTTACAACCTAGTTGTTATATTGATCCATTGTACAATTTTCATTGCATAGAAATTAAAAAGGGAGTGTAAACAATGAGGTGTGTTCTCCTAAATTTCAAAACTAGCATATTGATAGGAAGCTCACGCTAAAGAGTAAGCTCCTATGTTAGTTTGTATCTGAACGGATAGTATAGAAACATCAAATCTACAACTTAAAAATAACTTACACATCAACAATCAAACAAAATGCAGAAGAATCACAATTAGATGAAAGTAATGTAAAGACTAATTGTTGGGAGTCTATGAAAATACAAGTGGCACCATGAAGATAAGAGTCTAGCCAGTGGTGGAGGCACATATAGTTGATGAGGTGCATGTAACTTTTAAATTTTTTCTAAGTAGCCAATAATATATTTATAAAGTGAATCATTTAAATTGTTATATTTATAATTTGTGAACCTTCTTAGGCGCCTTTTTAAGTATAAAAAGATTGATTTGATGTTGACTTTTTAATTAAACAATAATGCAAAATTAGTAATTCGTTTTTTTGTCTACTTTTGGCCCATTGTTATATTCGTTTAGAGGATAATTGTGATTTTTTTTTTAAAAAAATTTGCATTATTGTTTTTTTTAGTATGAATGAAAGTGGTAGATTTTTATTACATAATCTAATTCATTTTAAATTTCGTATATTAAAAAAAATATATTATAGATAAGTGCGCTCTCTGATTCTAACGTCCTAACTCCACCAATGAATCTAATCATTTCAAAGTAGACCTCAAAGCCAACGATTCCACCATTGATGCTTCCTAGCATATTAAGAAATTTTTTATTGATGGTCTTTAATAAATATTTATTATTTTAAATAATTACAAATAAAATAATTAGTTAAAATATTGCTTTTTTTGTTCTACAGAGAAACTTTTCAATTTGGGTGTTTCTTTTATATATATTTTTTATTTTAAATGGAAACTGTGTAATGATGCCAGATGAAAAAGTTCAACTTGTCCTTATATAAGCTATGCTATCCACATAAAAATTGTCCACTAAACGAGAAAAGTGGTAGAAAAAAAAAAAAAATGACATTTACTGCACTTGTGTTTTCAAAATATGGATGGACGACTATTTTTTATGTATTTTTAATAGTGTGCTCGATTTTATAGATTTGAGCATGAATACAAGTGATAGTATATTCATGATTTGAGCATGAATCACCACATGATATATTCATGTATAGATTTCAATCTTGAATAAAATATAATAAATTATTAATTAGAAAAAAAAAATAATGAATCTTAAATAAAATATAATGTAAAAACAAATAGTAAAGAATATAGAAGTTTTTAAAAGGAAAACAATTGAAAGAATGTATAATTCTTTTAATTTAAAAAAAATGACAAGAATTCTTTTATATAAATTAATTGTTGTTGCTTGTATAATTTTTTTTTTTTTTTTTTTTTTTATAATTTTTTTTTTTTTTTTTTTTTTTTTTTTTTTTTGGATACTGATGGAAGGGACAAAACCCTAGGAGAGACGAAGCAAAAAACACCAACTACCCAGGAACAATTCTAGGTCAGGCGATGCCACAGCAATCCCATCTTAGCTGGTCCAGAACCAGCTGAGGAGGGTCAACAAAATTGGTCCTAGCAGCTGTCCCTTGAACAACCATGTTAGCAAGCAAGCCTGCCACCTTGTTAGCCTCACGATAGCAATGAACAAACTTGACTATCCAATCCTTTAACAGCAAAGCCTGTATAGGGTTAACTAGATTCAGAAAATACCTAGCATCATGCGTATCATTCTGCAGCACCACCTTTGAGTCTATCTCCACCAGCACCTGTCTATATCCTAGCTCCCATGCGAGCCATAGACCATGAAGAACCCCATGCAGCTCAGCTAACATTGAAATACAATGATCCAACTTAACAGCAAGCCCAGCAAGCCACTTCCTTTAAAATCTCTTAACACCCCACCACACCCGCTAAGACTCGGGTTACCCTTGGCTGCATCATCCATGTTCAGTTTAACCCAACCATGAGAAGGGGGGTCCAAGCAACATGACAAACCGAACGACAACAGGATGAACCACCATGACTCCTTGAACTCCAAGCTGCATGATTCACCTTTAACTGTGAAAAAAAATACTATGCCATATAGAAGCAGGGTCATACCAAACATTCCTAAACACAACAGAACTATGCCAAATCCAAATGTCCCACAAAACCAACCCCAAAACGACAGCAATACCAAAACTATCAAACCTGTAAGTGTGGAAAAGATGAGCATGGGACAGCCACTCCTTAGCAGGCTGAGACAAAAAAATTTGCAAAGAGCTAGTAGTAAGAATCTTTTCCCTTAACTAATGTGCATAAAAGCAGTCCCTCAATAAATGCTCGAAATCTTCAACCTCTCTATCACATAACGAACAAAGAGGATTGGAAGTAAAACCCCTCCTGCATCTCTCCATATTTGTCATCAGCTTCTGATGTTGGAACAACCACAGAAACATTCGCACCTTTTGCGACACTTTCAAACTGAATATGTTCTTCCAGATACCATGACGCAGTAAACCAGCATCTCATTTCGCTAATTGTAGGCTGAACCAACAGAAAAGGAACCAGAACTAGTCTTAGCTCAGCAATACTCATCCATACTGTTAATATCGTAACTCAAAAATACCGCTTGTAAGAGCTCGCATATCGGACCTGGTAAGTAAGGTGAAATATTCGACCAATCCCAGCCACCGTTCTTCCAAAATGCAGCCACAGAAAGACCCTAGAAATGCAAAAGAACACCTACACTACCCACATTCAGCAAAGGGCCGTCCAATAATCAATTATCCTCCCAAAACAATGTCAAGATACCATTACAAACCACACGATGGACCCCCTTCGAAAGAAGAGGCAGGCTATGAATTATGCCGCGCCATACAATTGAGGCGCAATTATTCTTTCAAAAAGCATCCATCCCCGACCGGCCAAGCATATATTTATCCCGTACGATCTGACACCACAACCTTTTAGAGCCATTTAAAATCCTCCACCGCAACTTAGCTAAAAAAGTAAACGTACCTCTCTGCAAGTCTTAATCCCTAGCCCTCCCACTGCAAAAAAATTCGCCAATTTGCGACCCATAAATTAGTCGCAAACTGTGTAAGAAATCAGTCGTTAAACACAATCAGCGATCGATAACCATCTGTCGCAAAAGTGCTCGTCGCAAAATATTTTGCGACCGATTTAGTGAATCAGTTTCAAATTAGCAACCGATATTTCGGTCGCAAAATTATACTGATCGGTAGCAAAAGTTGATTGTGTTTTCCTTTTGAAATGCTGTCGCAAATTGGTCGCAGACATTGTCTATCGCAATTATGAAAGGTGGTCGCAAATGTTGGTCAGTGATCTGTCACAATTTTAAATTTAACGGTTGCAATTCGGTCACAAATCCGTCGCAAATATACAATTAAAAAAAAAATATATAATACTATTATAAAACCATAATTTTTGGCACTTGTGAAAATCGGTGTATATATAATATAATATATAAATTATACATATATTTATATATATATATATATATATAGTTATATATATCAAATGCATTCAATAATAAATATAAAGTAATTGTTAATGTAATATACTGTACAAAATTATAAAATCACAAAAAAGCTAAAAAAAGGTCCAAAATCAAATCTACGAGGTTGGTCATCTGCACGATCCAATG